ACACGAAACACGAATGTACTTGAGCTGGGGAGTGAGGATTGAGAAAGGACAGCACACTCAATAGTGTGGAGACAAGAGGTCCCCTTTATTTCACAGAAACAGCTCCTTTTAAAGGCACACCAACAGGAAGCATCAAGCAACTATTTGTTTGCAAAGACTGGATTTTCTAACTCTTACAGAGAACATCAGATCTATAGCTATCCTCCGAGTTCCTCCCATCACAGGGTCAAAGAACAAACAAATTTAACAAGGTCCTTGAGCAGGGCGTGGTGGTGCACTGTAATCACATAAAACCAGTCTGGATTACACATTGAGCTCCAGGTCAACGCCTGTAATCCCATAAAACCAGCCTGGATTACACAGTGAGTTTCAAATCAATCTCATCTGCATAGCTGAGACCCTGTCTCAGAAAAGCCAAATAAACAGAGCTTAAAGAACAAACAAATTTAACAAGGTCCTTGAGCAGGGCGTGGTGGTGCACTGTAATCACATAAAGCCAGTCTGGATTACACATTGAGTTTCAAATCAATCTCATCTGCATAGCTGAGACCCTGTCTCAGAAAAGCCAAATAAACAGAGTCCTTGAAAAAGGAACATAGATTGTATCAATGCCTCAATGGTAAAAGAAGAAGTTATTTTCCCAATGTCAAACGCCAATGGGCCATGGCTGGCTCCCACATTTGGAACATGGCTAGCTGCAGATGAGGAATTGAATTCTACATCTTTTGTTTGTTTGTTTTGCAGTATTGGGGACTGAACCCAAGGCCTCACACTAAGCTACATCTTCAGCCCTTTTAAAATTTTATTTTTAGGGTCTCTCTAAATCACTAAGTTGCCCAGCTAAAGTCTTGAATTTTAGCTCCTCCTGCCTCAACCTCCTAGAGTGCTGGGGAAACAAGCATGAGCCACCACGCTCAGCTCCTTAATTTTAAGTCTTTAAATTATTTTTTAGTTGACATTTAATAATTGTACATATTTATGGGGCACTGTGATATTTTGATAGAATGAGCAAATCGGGTAAATTAGCATACCATCAATGAGGGAGAACCTATTTCACTACAAAGCAAAATAAAAACAAGCAAAAATAACCCTCTAAACTAAAATCTTTTCTTCTATTTAAAATATACATCATGGGGGCTAAGGATTTAGCTCAGTGGTTCTGCTGCCTGCCTTGCAAGCACAAGGACCCAAGTTTGATTCCGGTACCAAAAAAAAAAAAAAAAAAAAAAAAAAAAAATACTAGGACTCAGTCTTCCCATCCACTGCCTCACCAGCCTCTCCTTCCCTCCTCCCCCATTCCCTCCCCAGATTCTGAGAAGCACCATCCTACTTTCTACTTGTTACCTCAACTTTTTTTTTTTTTTTGAGACAGGGTCTCACTATGTAGTTGAGACTGACCTGGAACTCACTATGTAGCCCAACTCACAGCGATCCTCCTGCCTCAGCCTCCTGAGCGCTGGGATTACAGGTGTGTGCCACCACACCCGGCTTCAACTTCTTTTTTAAATCTTCCACATATGAGTGAGAACATGTACTTGTCTTTCTGTGCCTGGCTTATTTCACTTCACATTGCATTCTCTGGGCTCATTCATGTTTTTGCAAATGACATGGTTTTGCTTTAGCCATTCATCTGATGAGGGACCTTTATGGTTGATTCCATATGTTAGACATTGTGAATAACGCTGCAGTAAACATGAGATTATCCTGGCCTCTCAGGTTCATGCCCACAGGCTCTTTTGCTGACACTGACAACAAAGTACTATAGATAGCTAATTACATAGTGTTTTTTTTTTTTTGTACCTGGGATCGAACTCAGGACCTTGGGCTTGCCAGGCAGGCAAGGTGCCACTGAGATAAATCCCCAGTCCTGTTGGATAGAAATTAATAGGCAATCAGGGAGGGATCACACCTTTGAGGGAATCAGTACAGAGGATGAGACACACCAAGACTGGGGATGGACACAAATCTGAAGAGAGCCAGGCCTCCAGATGGAGACCCGACAGTCAGGCATGCAGGCCTAGCTAGAGATAAACAGTGGCTCGAAATTATAATTAGCACCCCCTGGTCCAGTGAGCTCAACTAGGCCTCAGGCATAGGTGGGTACCAAAGTGTCTAGACCTATGCTGCCAACCCTTTCGAGGAACATCTATGATGCTCGCCATGTACCCTTGCTATGTGCCTCGTTTCCTTATTGGATCGATATCAGCTAAATTTATAATCTTGCAGGTTGATTGTGGTTGACCCACATTGTACCCACGTGATCTTGCTACACACCCTATCCTTGGACAGAGCCTCCTCCGGATCCCTCCTGGAAATCCAGGAGCTGTTCCTGCTTCCAGTAAGAGTCTCCTGACCGCCTCCTTTGCTTCGCGCCTTCACGCCTCCCGTTACGACCCCTAACTCCGCAAGCCGGAAGTCTGACAGGTGGGGACTTCCGGGAAGATGGCGGGGCCTTGAGCAGAGAGCTTCTGGAGGCTTGGTGTCCGGATAGTCATAGGTTGGGATTTATTTTCCCTGTTACAAAAGGAGTCGACTATTTTGGTGAAAAGGAAAAAGGATTTTCCCAAAGCTGGTTCCGAGGAGACGGGGGCCTCTCTACCTCACATCGCCACCTCAGCACAGGTGAGTCCAGTCTCAGGCAGAACGCGCGCAGACCGACCAGATGGCAGCGTTCCTCTGGGCCTCCCCGCCTGAGGAGCGGGAAATGGAGTCGGGCCTGGGCGGCCCCTTTGCCAGCTCCTGCCCGCGAGGGAGCCAGGCTGGAGGGGCCGGAGCTGGCGGCCTCACCCCCCTCAGGCCTCTTCTCCACGGAGACGCCCAGTCAGGGAGCCACACGGCCTGTGAGAAGGTAGGCGTTGTGGCAACAAAGCCGGGTGGGGTGGGAGTTAGAAAGCAAGTTTGGGATTTTAAACAGGGTACCAGGCAAAAGCACCCTAAAAAGGTGGCATATGAGCAAAGTCTTGAGAGAAAGCTATCTGGGCATCTGAGAGGATATCTGGCAGGCATCACAGGCAGAGCAAAGATCCTGAGGCATTTACAATCTTACAGGAACAAAATGGAGGCCTAGGTGGCAGCACAGAGGTAGTATGGATAAGAGAGGTAGGGAGGGGTCAGAGTAGGTGCAGCCGACTTCTGCATTTAACCTGTGTGGATTGGGCACTGTCAGGATTTAGAGCCTAGGAGGGATGATACCATACTTTATGAAGTTCTGAGAAACAGATTGAAGGATGAAGGCGCATATAGTAGGGACCAGGCTGGAGTCAATCAGATTTTAAATCTTGCTGGTTTTTTTTAGCATGCTGTTTGTTTTATTTCTTTGTTTATTTATTTTTATTTATTTTTTTGGTACCAGGGATCCAACTCTGGATCTTGTGCTTGTGAGGCAGGCAGTGGAACCACTGAGCTAAAATCCCTGGCCCCATGCTGTTTTTTTTTTTTTTTTTTTTTTTTTTTTTGAGACAGGGTCTCACTATGTAGTTGAGACTGGCCTGGAACTCAGTATGTAGCCCAGGCTGGTCTTGAACTCACAGCAATCCTCCTGCCTCAGCCTCCCGAATGCTGGGATTACAGGCGTGCACCACCGCACCTGGCTTGTTTTATTTTGATAAACCATACCCCAGTGATGGCAAACTTTTGTTTTGGTTGTTTGTTTTTTGGTATTGGGGTTGATGGTGAACTTTTAGAGCTTTCAGTAACAAACAGCTGGCTGGGTACATATGCCATAGGTTCCCACCACCGCCATCAACCCTTACTGTGCTTCAGTACCTGTGAGCATCTTTCCATATATGCTGCACTTTTATCTCCTATGTTATTATTTTACTATTATTACTGGTATTATTGGTATTATTGTTCAGGAGGTGGACTGAACACAAGGCCTTGTACCTGGTAGGCAAATGTGGTATCACTGAGCTACATCCTCAGTCTTTTTACTTTGTTTTGAGACAGAACCTCCCTAAATTGCCTAGGCTGGCCTTGAACTTTGCAATCTTGCCTCCAAGCAGCTGGAATTACAGTTATGTGCCGTCATACCAGTCCTGTTATTTTTTCTGTGGAACAATTAAAGAGGAAATGTGCCAACATTGTGATCCTTTACTCCTACATATTTTTAAACATGTATTTCCTAAGAAAAAAAAGTTATTCCCTTTTATAACCATGATTTACTTCTCAAATTCAGGAAGGCTAATATTCAGTACTAATATCTACTATACAATTCATATTTAAATGTAGCTGATTTTTCTTTTCTTTTTTTTTTTGTACCAGGGATCGAACTCAAGTCCTTGCGTTTGCAAGGCAGGCGGTGGAACCACTGAGCTAAATCCCCAGACTTAGCTGATTATCTTGACAGTGTCTTTAATAATAGTCCACCCCTTCATATATGATTCCATACTGCTGTTAGCTGTCATATCTCTTCACTCTTTTAAGACTGGAGCAACACCCTTTCCTCTTTTGGTCCTTTCTAACACTGACTTTTTTTTAACCAGGACCTTGTGCTTGTGAGGCAGGCAGCAGCACCACTGATCTAAGTCCTTGGCCCCACACTGACAATTTTGAAGAGTACAAGCTCATTGTTTTACAAAATTTCTTTCGATTAGAGTTTGCCTGATACCCCTCCCTCTCTCCTTCCCTCCCTCTTTCCTTCTTTCCTTTTGATGAGGTATCAGCTGGGCATGGTGGACATCCCTGTAATCCCAGAACTCTGGGAGGCTGAGGCAGGAAGATTGTAAATTCAAGCCCAGCCTGGATTTGGAAGGACCCTAAAATTAAAAAATAAATAAATAAAAAGGACTGGGGATATAGCTCAGTGCAAAGGTCCTGGGATCAATCCTCAGTATTGGGGTTTGTGAGGGCAGAGATGGGATCTCGCTGTGTTGCCTAATTTGGCCCCACATTCCTTAACTCAAGTGACCCTCCTTCCCCAGCCTCCCAAGTGGCTGGGATTACAGGCACATGCCAACATACCAACTTTGTGTGAGTTTTCTCAAAGCATATTTCAGAATATGCATTTTTGGTTAGGAACATATAGCAACTATGCTGTATCCGGCTCAGTTTGTGGTATCAGGAGGCCCTGGATGTGGGCTTGTCCTGCTACTGTTGACAGTAGCTGTGGTCACTTGGTTAAGATGCTTTCTTACATCTCTCCACCATGTGAATTTACAAGGTAGCTGCCAGTGGCCGCCTGCAGAGTCAGGTGTGGAAGAGTGCAGAAGGGCTGTCTGGGATCTGAAGGATCCAGTCAAAAGTTCAAGACCTGGAGCTCACTGTAGAATATAGTGTGAGCTTCTATCAGGAAGCCGATGGAATGCTAGAGTCTGCATTAGAAGCCAAGAAACAACATCCAAGGTAAAGGCAGACTGGAGCTCCTCCAAAGAAACAAAAGCGAGCCTTCCTCCTTTCTTTCCCTTTTTATTCTACTCAGGCTGCAAGCCACTCACACCCAGGATGGGTCTTCCCTCTTCAGTAAGACCATTCAGCCACAACCACTCAGAACTGTGCTTCCTCAAGTTGACACAACAGTATCACAGGCACTTATTTGATTCAACAAAATCTCCCAGGATCGTCTCATTTTTTCCTCTACCCCAGCCTTGGAATCAATCATTTTCCAAGAAGCCTATTTCCTTCAAGGATGGGGACATTTAGAAGCCACAATTTGTGTCCATACTAATTTATTTTGTTTTATTTTTTGGTACCAGGGATTGAACTCAGGCCCTTGTGCCTGCAAGGCAGGCACCAGAGCTACTGAGATAAATCCCTGGCCCCATACTAATTTATTTTGGAGGTAGAAGTGGTGGCATTTTGCATAGATTGGATGTGGATGTAGAGGAGAGAAGTCCTAGCTTGTCAGAGATCCAGCTCAAATACTTCTTCTCTGAAGTCTTTGTAAACACACCGAGGCTGACTCTAGTCGCTGTTAATGGTGTTTTTATTATTCTTGCCACAGCAGTAGGAGATGTGAGTGCTCCCAGGAAGTCCTTACCCCTGGCTGCTGGTAGGGCTGGCTCTGAACCTCACCTCCAGTGCTCTCAGATTGAATGAGCCTGGGCAACTCCCTCATCCACTTCATGGTTTCTTCACTTGTGACATGAGGGTGATGACAAGGATCTCACAGGGTGACTGTGAGAAGTGAATGATATCCAAGGCCGATTTCTAGTGGTAGAATGGTAAATAGAGTAAGCAATAATGTATGTTTCAAAATTGCTAAAGGAGGGTCAGGAATTTAAGCTCAGTGGTACTGTGCCTGCCTCACAAGAGCAAGGTTCTGAGTTCGATCCCCAGTACTACGAAAACAAAATAGTGATTATGCTAATTAAACTAAAAATTGCTAAAAGAGTGGATTTTAAATGTTAGATGATGGGTTTGTTAATCTGATACAACCATTCCATGTTGTAAATACCAAAACATTACATTGGGCCCTATAAATATATACAATTAGCCAGGTGTGGTGGCGCACGCCTGTAATCCCAGCACTTGGGAGGCTGAGGCAGGAGAATTGCTGAGTTCAAAACCAGCCTGGGCTACAAAGTGAGTTCCAGGTCAGTCTCAACTACATAGTGAGACCCTGTCTCAAAAAACAAAAAAAAAACTATATATACATAATTAGTATTTGTCAATGAAAGTTTTTATAAGAAGCCTTTTTTTTTGGGGGGGGGTACCAAGGATCACTTGCAAGGCAGGCAGCAGAACCAGTGAACCAAATCCCTAGCCCTCATAAGAAACTATTCGAGGCTGATTTCCATCGACTGCCTAGAAAGGAGGGCAGTGAGGGCTAAAGAAAGAAAGACAATAGAGACTTGGGTATTTTCAAAGCATGAGTGGGGCCGGGAAGTCAGTGCCTCAGAGTGGGCAAAGACCAGGGCTCTCTGAGCTGGCTGCTGTCTGTTGGTGCACACAGCAATCCGAGGGAGCGTCGGGTGACTTGGGGGCGGCGGATCTCATGTCTGATCCGGTGCCCAGCACTTCTCGTGTGATGAGGGCGGAGAGGAGAGTGTCCCCACCTCAGTAGGCGGGAAGAGCTGGGGTGATGAAGACTTCTCCCTCCCCAGGGGAGATCTTCCCCTTCTGTGTCACTACTGGGTTCTCAGGGAACCAGGACGTCTTCAGCTGGTGTCATCTTGCCACAGAGCACCACAGCCCCACAGGACCACTGAGGCCTCAGCTGTGACCGGAGGCAAACGGAGTTGTTTCCGCAGGCCGCAGCTGGCTCTCGGGCAAGGCAGCATTGGACCTTAGACAGCTATAGTCATACTTTAATTATGAAATGATTTTACCCGAAGTTTATGTAGAAATGCTCCTGACAGAATGCCACATGAATGGGCCATGCAGGACACTGATTGGTGCCTTAGGATAGTTACTTAAACTCTGTACTCTGGCTTCCACTCCTATGAGAGGGGCTTGCTTTAAGGAGCCTGTGGAATCCTGCAGCCTGACCCCTGGACACCATCCTAAAAGTGGCTGCACCCAGATTTACTCTTTGGTGGAGCCTCTCAGGCAGCAATCATCCCTTGTTTCTGTTTTCAGCATCACTTCTTCCACCCCAGAGTCTCACCCATCAAACATGACTTTTGCCTCAGTGATTTTTTTTTTTTTTTTTAGACAAGGTCTCTCCATATAGTCCAGGCTGGCCTCAAACGCGAATCCTCTTGCTTTGGCCTTCCCAGTGCTGGGATTACAGGTGTGAACCACCCACTCCTGGCTTGCCCAGTGATTTTTAAAAATTAGATTGACAATTTTTATGCAGTCTTAAATCATTTGTTGTCTGTTGTCTACAACTAAAAAATCTGCAATAAGGTGGGGCTAATTGGGAGGTGGCTGAATCTAGAGTGTGTGATGCTGGAATTAAGGGTGTGTGATCACTAAACGTTACATATGAGTGATTAGTTTGGCACCACCATAACCTGTAGTCTGAATAAGATAAAAGGGGCAGGAAGGCAGTTAAGGTCCCTTGTTGTTTCTGCTACTTTGGGTGCGCCATGTTGTTTCTCCTCTGTAATGCCTATTCACTATCCCTGCCTTGGAATCAGCCAGTTATGGACTGAAACCTCTGCAAACTGTAAGCCAAATAAACCTTTCCCCCTTTCCCTTTGGATGTCAGGTATTTTATCTCAACAGCAAGAGAAAAGTAACTAACAGCACCAAGCATGGTGCCCCTCAGTTGTGTTGGGTCCACTGCATGCCTGGTGGAAATCTGGGCCTTCTGTGTCGCCCCTTAGGATCTGGGTAGTGGACGAGCATTGAAGCACACATCACACTCCTGTTGCTTGCTGTGCTGTGAGCAGTGAATTCCTGTGTGTCTGACCAGGAGTTTCATGTCTTTGGGTCAGACCAACTCACCAGTCCAGCCAACATACTGAAAGAAACTGGTGCCTGCCAAGGATCACTCCACATACCGACAGAGCTCGTGTGAGAGATCTTTATTGAAGAGCCAAGGTGGCACAGTGGCCCACTCGGCAGAAAGGGAACAAAAAGAGAGAAAGGGAGCAGGAAAGGGGCTTGGTGATATAGTGGGTGACTGGTATAGGCGGGTCAGGGATTGTGAGCTGCACGGCAGCCACTCGGGTCATTATTTGTGATCTATTCCTTATAGGGATAAGCCTTGCTTATGCGTCAGTCTCATGTATGACTGGGGTCGCATGATGCAGGAAAATGGAACTTAAGGTGAAGAAGGAGGTTATTCATCAGAATGGTGGCAGCCATTCCAAGGCACTTATAGGTACAATTCTTCATTCTGTCAGGGACCTGTTTTAATCTTCTGTTATGCACAAATTTGCTTTTATAATATGAAAGTACTGATTTTTTTTTTAAAGAGTAAAAGCCAAATACATATGCCAAAATGTCAGAGCTTGCCAATTAGAGGAAAGTCAGCAAACAAAATCTATCCAAAGGAAAAAAATAAGGAACCCTCTACTCAGGGTTAAGGGGCAGCTCTGTGATAGACTGCTTGCTTAGCATACGTAAGGCCCTAGGTTCAAACCCCAGCACTGCAGGGTGAGGGGAGAGGGATAAAGAACTCTACTCTTCATTTGAGTCAGGGTCTTGCTATGTAGTTCAGGCTGGCCTTGAACTCATGATGATCTTTCTGCCTCAGCCTTCTGAGTGCTGGGGTTACAGATGTGTGCCACCACACCTAGCTGAAGGTAATCTGGTTAATCCCTTAGTAGATATCTTTTTAAATTGCTTTCTGTATAGATTTTCATGTCTCTACTAGTCTCCTGCAAAAATAAGATCGTAGCCAGGAATGGTGACACACATCTGTAATCCCAGTACTCGGGAGGTTGAGGCAGGAAGATCTATTTTAAATTCGGGGCCAGTCTGAATTATATAGCCAGAATCTGTCTCCAAAAACAACAAACAAACTGCAAAGATCACAGGTTGTGTGGTGTTTTAGCAATTGCCTGAGTTAAGCATCTCCTGTGGTGAGAAGCACTGTAGTGACTCCCCAGTTCCTCGAGGCTTAGTCAATGCTCAACAGCCTGCAGAGTTTTCAGTACCCAAGCCAGAGCCAGGTGCTTCCCCAGGGGCCTGCTGCTTTCTGGGAACTCTTGCGGGAGGAAATGCACCCTGAGTCCCAACCAGCAACTTGGGGACCACAGGTGGAAGGAAACGGCCCCCCCCTGCCATCTCCGCCTTTGTGCCCCTAGTTCTCAGGCACATTCTTACTTGACCTCAGCTAAGATGCAGGAATTCCCGTTCTGGGGCCCCCACATTCTTTCCTGCCTTGGCCTTGCCCTGGGGCCCCCAGGCCTCACCTCAGGGTCCCACGGCCCCGCCCTGTGAGAGGACAGAAGGGTGCAGCAGGATGCAGGGTGGGGTGGGTGGAGCCAGGGCCCACTTCCTTTCCCCTTGGGGCCCAGTTCCCCCAGTTGTGCCTGAGCCTCCTCCACAGGAGTGCAAGGCTGCCCAGCCCTGTGCCTTATCACCTGAGCTGGTAAGAAGGTGCGACCTGGGGGTAGGGGCTTCAGAGGGACTGGGAATGGCCTGTCTTGGAACAGACCCTGGCAGGTGATGGGAAGAGAGGATGGGGCCCCTGGGAGGCCAGGAGAGCAGGGCCACTGCTGGAGCCCAGCAGTGCACAGGCTGGGCCGACAGGGCTCTGCTGCATCTGGCCCCCTGTTGTTTCTGTTAATAGAAAAAGGAGGGTGGAAAAAGCCGTTAGACCGCACGCTGGGCCTGGCAGTTGGCAGGGAAGTGGGCAGGAGGGCAAGGCCTGGCCTGGGCTCCCCCAGCCCTTGCATTCTGTTTCTTCAACTTCCCAGCTCAGGTCCCAAGTCCTGCTCATGCCTGCTGCCCTGGAAATGGCCCTGCTGCTTCTCTTCTGGAGCCTCTGGACCCCGCTGGTGAGCCCCACCTCAGGAAATTCCACTTCTGTCTGGGACTCAGCGACCCCCATGGATCCAGGGATGAGCACCTCCTTAGAGCTCCGCACGGATATTCAGGTCTCGACCCTGGCCCCCTCCACTCCCTCTCGAGACAGCAAGATGCCCTCTCTTGGGACTTCGGTTGGTGCCAGCACTGGCCCTGCTGTGTCTGAGCCAATGCCCTCCAGGGAAAATTCTACCAAAAAGCCGTCAGAGCTTCTAGAAATCTCTATTGCAACCAGTGGCCCTGCTGTCCCTATAGCAGTGACCTCTCAGGGACACCCCACTGTGACAGGTGAAGCCCTGACATTTACCTCTCTGGAAACCTCTGGTGGGACCAGTGAATCCTCTATCACCAAGGCAGCAAGCTCTCTGCAGACCTCCAGTGAGGCCAGTGAATTTGTCCCTATGGCAACTAACTCTCCAGAGACCTCCAGTGGACCCCCTGTCACCAAGGCAACGCGTTCTGTGGATACCTCCACTGGGGCCAGTGGAACCTCTGTTACCATGACAACTAGCTCTCCAGAGCCCTCCAGCAGGACCAGTGGACATCTTGTCCCCATGACAGTCAGCTCCCTGGTGACGTCCAGTGTGGCCAGCAGCTCCCCAGTCTCCAGCATAAAAGTATCCATGACCACCCCAAAGCCCTCTACAAGAACGAGCACGGAGGCCTCTGGGAGCCCAGCCCAGGGCCGGAAAGGCATGCTGCTGGTGCCCGTGCTGGTGACCATGCTGGTGGTCATAGTGATTGTGGCACTGCTCCTGCTATGGCGCCAGCGGCAGAAGCGCCGCACGGGGATCCTGACGCTGAGCGGAAGTGGGAAGCGCAATGGCGTGGTAGATGCTTGGGCTGGGCCTGTGCAGGTCCCTGATGAGGAGGCTGTGACAGCAGCAGTGGGAGGGCCCCAGGATGACAAGGGCTCTGGGGTCCCCCAGACAGAGGTGTCTGCCCAGCGGCCCACACTCACCACTTTTTTCAGCAGACGGAAGTCTCGCCAGGGCTCCTTGGCGATGGAGGAGCTGAAGTCCGGGCCAGGGCCCAGCCTGCAGGGGGAGGAGGAGCCGCTGGTGTGCAGCGAGGACGAGGCTGTGGAGGACCCTGCTCCCGAGGACAGGACGGGGCGGCGCCTCAGTGCCTGTGAATAACAGGAACCCTGTTGATTCCCACCAGCCCTTTGCTTCCCCCCAAACCGCCTGGAACCCCCCCAGGATTCTTGCTCCCCTGGGCCCCCAGCCAGCGCCCTCGCACATCTGCATCTAGACCTGGCCGCAGCCCGCCCCTGCTGTTTGCAGATCAAATCAGCCTTCGTGAATCCTTCAGTCCCCTCCCCAGCTTGCTTCATCCTGAAACCAGTGGCTGAGTCACCACAATGCCAACCCTACCCATGATTTCTCCAAGGACCCACCCTGGGGAGACCAAGAGATTGGGAAGAAGGAAATGACAATTGGCCAACTCCCTAGGAAAAAACTTTGTAAAGTATGTGGGGTCCCTCACAGGACACCCTACGGGGACAGACCATGAACCCCTCTCTTCAACCCTCTGGGGGGCTCACTCTGGGCCTTCTTGGAGCCTGGGCTGGCTGGGCTACCCAGCTTCGCTCTAGGGGAGCCTGTGACCTCCTGAGCCCTAGGATCCAGGGCTGCCCATGCCAGAGCCTCCACGCTCTGCCCCACCTAGGGACTTTTGCCACTTCATTGGCCATTGGTGGTTCTCGGGAAGGCTGCCATCTGCGAAGGGACCACTCCCGGGTGTGCTCTGTATGCAAGAGATGGTGGTATTAGAGGGAGTGGTGAGTCCAGACAGTTCAAGGGAGGGTGCAGGAGGGGAGACAGGCTGAGGAGGGGCTGCCCCCACCCATTGTGGGGTGCACAGGACCATTGGGAACACAGGTGCCTTCCATTTTGCTGAGATAGGGCACACAGTGGCAGCTTTGATAGTATGAGCAAGAGTGCAGGTTTGATAAGGCCAAGTTTGGTGGCACATGTGGTACCCCAGCACTCAGGAAGCCCAGGCAGGAGGATCCTTGAGTTCAAGGCCAGTCTGAACTGCATAGCAAGACTGTTACAAAAAAAACAAAACAAAATGGGGGGAGGGGAGGGGTATTAAAAGACAGAATGTGTGACCAAGTGCGGGCTCTCAGCTCAGCC